CTGGCAATGAGGTTATTCTCTTCGATTCCAACTTCTTTATGGGTGAGCAGCACCCCTCCCTGGCACCTCTGCAGACTTCTCTTACCTTCCCCTTGGAAGTAGATGCAGGGCTCTCCCGGCTGGTGGTGGAGGCTCAGGGGGATCATGGTGGGATGCAGCAGCAGCCTCCTAGGAGCCTGAACAAAATGGATCCTCAGGGTGTGGGCTCTGTCAGGCCCTTTCCAGCCCCGCTCTTTCCTTACTACATGGCCCTTCCTTACTTCATGCCCCTTCTCAGCCCTTCTGGCTCTCGGCATCACACCAATCAACCCGCTGCCCCTGCTTGGTTCATTTTGCCCTGCTTCACCCTTTCCTCCCCCGTTAGCCTTTAGGCTAATGGAATAAACAACCCCTGAAAGAACAGCAGGGAAAGGGAGTATCTTTTGCAACTGTTCCAAGCATCCTGCCCCTGCAACCTTCTTGGATTTTTTTGTGGGGAAGAGGCTAATCACCTAATTCTTTTTTTTTTTTTAAGCCACATTATTGTCATCAAAAGATTTGCCTTTACCCAGTTGTGTCTTGTTAGAAATGTGGTGTGAAACTTACCATGCAGCTTTAGAAAAAGGGCTGAGGGTCAGGGTCGTCCAAACAGCTTTTATCATGGCTCCTTCAAAAGGACAGCATGCCCTTCAGAGATATTTGTGTGCCACCCCAACCCTGTCCAAACCAGGATGGGACAGGGGCACTTTCTCTACTCTGACTGAACACTGGAATCACCCAGGGAGCTTAAAAAAAATAAAATTATTGATGCCAGGGCCCCACCTCAGACTAATTCCATCAGAATCTTTCAGGGTGGGTCCTGGGAAGAGGCATTTGTGATGGCCGCCCATCAACCTTCACAGCCCACAAGAATGCCCTGGGGTCCGGTGACAATGCAGCCCTAGATCCAATAGGCCAGAGTCCCCAGGAGCTGCGGGTGCTGCTGGTGCTCCTGGTACAAGGACCACACTTAGAGCAGGGAGGCCACGGACTATCCGGAAGGCGGAGGGCCGGGTGGGGGTGCCATGCCTACCGCCAGTGTGCTAACTGGATGGAAGGACCAGAAGGTTCCAATAAGAGTGCTGTCTTCCTAGGAAGGCAGGGTGCCACAAGTCACTTCAAGGGAATCCCTGAAGTCAAGAAGTCTCCCTCACAATTTTCCCTCCCTGGGCCTGTGCCGTGAATGGTGTGTCGGGCCTCTCCAGGGACTCTCTCCCTGGTGCAAACTCACACCCAGGGTTTAGCAATCTCTTGGCGCCAAGACCCTTCTGTTCTCGGGGTGATGTCCTGCAGAGTTGAGTGCCAAGACACAACCAGGCTGGAGAGAGAAGGCCACAGTGTCTCAGCCTGCCTTCCTGGAGGTCTGCCCCCTCATCTGTGTTGGTGACTGAGTCACCGACTCTTGTTGCTCTGGCACTGGCGTCGTACTGTCATGAGCTGGTCCTTTTCGGTGCATTCGCCCATCCTGGACGCACCAGTGCCGGCCCCCTTGCAGGAGCAAGAGGAGCTGCTGCCCTGTGAGTCCTTGTGGGGGGCACACAGCTAGTCACATCCAGGCCGCCACCGGCCACCTCCCATCCTGAGCCTGCTGTGCCCTTGCGCTGGCTCCTCCTACTTGTTCTTTGGGGAAAAGGCCTTTGGCAGCCACGGGAGGGAGCAGTCTCCCCAGCGCTTGGCCCACTCCACTCGGAAGGGGGGTGGTACGGCCGCTGACTGATCTGCCCGTAACTGGTTAGTTTCCTCCAGAGACCAGACCCTGCCATTGTTCATTTGGGGATTTTTGTTTGTTTGTTTTGTTGTGTTTTGGTTTTTTTAAGACTTTATTTATTTGAGAGAGAGAGAGAGAGCAAGAGAGAACACGAGTGTGATGAAGGGGGGAGAGGGAGGGGCAGAGGGAGAGGGAGAAGCAGAGCCCCCAGCTGAGCAGGGAGCCTGACCTGGGGCTCAATCCCAGGACCCCGGGATCATGACCTGAGCCGAAGGCAGACACTTAACTGACCGAGCCACCCAGGCGCCCCGGGCATTGTTCATTTTGTACAAAGGAAATACTTCTCCAGAAATGGCCCTCCTCTTTTATTTTTCCTCCAAGACTCTTTTCCTAAAAGCTTCCTTTAGCTGCAGAAAGTTCCTCTGTTAAGAGAAAGTGAAGTGTTCTCTCAGAGAGAGGACAGTGCTCCTCTCCAGCCGGTGCAGTCCTTCCTGGCCCTCTGGTCCCCTCCCTCAGCCCTGTGAATCCAGAGCCACCACGCTGCCTTTTCTGGTCCTTGTCAAACCTAAACCGTCAGCATCTTCTCCTGGAAATGGGGGTCTTGGCACTTTGGGGCATAAATGTTTTGGTTTAAGAAACACCAATGGCAAGAGCATAGATTCAAAGATGAAGGTAAGTCTGTCTCCTCACCACTGGCTGGCCCCTGTGGGCTGGGGCCACGCAGAATCAGGTGATGGCCACAAACATAAATTGTTGGCAAACAAGGAATCAGGTGGTGGGCTTAAGGGTGCTGGCATGGATGCTGTGTGGGCTCCCTCCTTCACTTCGCTGTAGGCCAGCAGGGCTGCGGAGCTCGTAGGCCATCTAATCTGGGAATGGGTAGGAAACTGAAGGGTAGAAAAACAGCGGTGTCCTCAAGCCGACTGGGCCAGACCAGATGGCCACACAGGCCAAACGTGTCTGGTGATTCCGAGGCGTGGCAGGGCCACACACGGTCAACTGTCCGCCCTTAGGCCCAGTGAGGGAGCTGTGGCGAGAGTCGCTGGGGACGGCAAGAGGTCTAGATGCCCGTTGTGCAAGCTTTGGGCTACACATTAAGTTCTTCCCTAACAATGTCGCCCTTGGGCCAGTCCCACTGGAAGAAATAAGTCCTACAGAGGCCACGCTCCCGATGCCGTCAGAGCCCAATGGGGGCCACGGAGCGCAGAGCTTTGCCTCCCCGCCATGTGTGGCAATGCGCTCCTCATCTGCTATGTTTTCTCTTCATTTAAACTTTTTCTTTAACCTTTAAAAGCACAGATCCCAACTCAGGTTCCCAGAGAAACCTCCAATTCCTGGAGTTCATAGACCTTTGGAAACACCCAAACCCTTTCCTTTGTCAGAGCTCCCCGAACTCCGAGCTGTCCCGGTCCTGTGCTCGTCTGTGGGGCTGGCCCACGACCCCGCCTTGACCCTTGACCCCACCCCACAGGTCCTGTCCATCCCATGAGGCCGCAGACTGTGTGGCCGAGTCCAGGCCCTTCCCCAGTGCTCCAAGTTGGATTCCCTTCTATTTCTATGCTAGACTGTCACAAGTCAGCTCAGGGCTCGGTGTGGTGCCTGGCACGTCGACAGCAGCGAGTTGACGTGCATGGGGTTTGCTGGCTTGGACCGCAGGGCCTGGGGTGCAGGGAGCGAGGCTGGTCTTCGAGGCAGGGAGCTCCCATCCTTACCTGAAGCATGGAGAGCTGACTGCGTAGATCTCAGAGTGGCTTGATGCACCTGTGTTCCTTCAGGAGCAAAGCGCTTTTTTCTCCTCTGCCTGATCCCTGGCCTGATCCCTGGCCTGATCTCCCTGTCTGAGAGACAGTGGTGTGAGGTGACATCCTGTTTGTACAGCCTGAGGACACAGGATGTTTTATAGCTCTGAGTGTCAAGTGGGTTGGGGGGGGCAGCGTACAGCAATGTCTCCACAGAGAGCCTCAGTGACCGCCGTGTGTGGTCATCCACAGGAAAGTGGAGGCCCCCACTTAGACTCATACGGAGAGAGAGTAACCAAGGCCAGTGGCATGAGAGGAAAGCGCAGTCTCGCCCAGACCCTTGCCCCCATTCCCAGCTGGCTGTGGGGTGCACGGCTGGGCTTTGTTTCCTTGTCTGTTCAGTGAGGATGAACCCCCACCTCACGGCATCTGTGTCAAGATAAAAAGACCGGGCACCTACAGCTGTGTGCAACACCCCAAAGATTGTCACACAGTAGATGTTAGTGCCCTCGCCCCCGCTGAGGGTACCGAGGGGACATCACCTCTCAGCTCTGTGATGTGCGCCTTCCACACAGACTGAGAATTCACCACTCACCACCTTCCATGCGATTCTAATTTCAGCATGTCACAGCTCACTCGTAAAATAGCATCCTTCACCCCTGAGTGTCTGTGCACAGTGCAGAAATGAGAACAGCCCCCCTCGGCAGGCAGAAGTGTGAGGTCCAGGCTCACACTGCTCCTGGGCAAACACCAGATCCTGCCGGAGAGATGGGGTGTGGAGGCGAGGCTTGTTCCCGCATCAGGCTCAAGTTCAAGGAGCATGGATTAAGCACCTACTGTGTGCCAGCTTTTGTACACAGTGGCCCTCAGGGGGAGTGCCAAAGTCCCCACTGGCAGCTAAGGAAACAGAGGCTCCGCTATGTTCAGATCTTGTGTCCAGGTGTGCCAGACTGCACAGCCAGGGATCAAATCAGGTCTCTTTCCCCCTGCCACACATCTCCTGATCAGGCTGGTGACTATTTCTCTTTCCCTCCAAGAGAAACCAAGGCAATCCACAGATTCTTTCCGATCAGAGCAGGCTCCTCTGGGGTCTTCCGAGCTCCCCCACTTCACAGGTGATCTGGGTGATTCTGCTCCTGCTGTGTATTTTTAGGAACCCCAGAGAAGTGACTTGTGCCTAAGAACTCAGCTGGGCAGCTCCTGCAAAGAATTCCAAACCACAGGCGATGAGGGACTGCAGGGAGGGCGGCCACACAGGATCTGGAGCGGGCAAAAAATAGACATGGCATTCCTGCCGTCAGCCACGGCGGCCCACCTCCCACCCGGCTCACCCACGGCACAGATCCGAGCCAGACTAAGTAGAGGCTGTCTGAATCAGAGCAGGGGGAGTCCCAGGCTGTTCAGCCTTGGGAGGCGAACCTGGCTGATGTTCAGCTTGGGCGTCACTTTCCTTAATTTATTGTAAACTGTCCCGTGGGCAGAGCTGGACGTGGATGCCACTGAACTCACACCCCCTGTTTTCCCCTCCCCACCAGGTCTTTGCTGCGAAAGTTCTCAACCTTGTCCTGCCAAACATGTCCCTGGGCCCAATTGACTCCAGCATGCTCTCCCGGAATAAGACGGAGGTGAGTCTTTCTGAAAACCTGGGGGCACCAGCGCCGGTGGGAAACTGAGTGGTAGTTCCATCCATGGCTGTCTCCCACCCTTTCGCTGAGGCCCTGCGTGAAGTGATGGGGACATGGAGATGCATGAGGTGCCGTGTGGCTTCAGGATTGGGTGGGAAGGGACAGGTGGTTATGAGGCCCCAGCTGTACCCTCAACACGCAAAGGAGCAAATCAGATGAAATTGTGTGAATCAGCCAGGTTTCTTGTGGTTGCAAGTGACAGAAACCCAACTCAAAGTGATTCAAGCAAAAAGAGGTATGTATTGGTGGATGGAACTAAAGGCTTCAGGCATGGCCGGATCCAGGGGCTCAAAAGTCTTGTTCACCATCCATCTCTCCCCAACTCTCATATCCCCTGGTTTGGCTTCATTCCCAGGCAATCTTTCCCAAAGTGGAAGCAAGGATGGTCACCAGCAGCTTTACCTAAGCAACCCCAGCAGAAAGACAGTTTGTTGAAAAGCCAACAAATGTCTCAGGGCTGATTCTTACTGGCAGACTGTCCGGGCCTGACTTATTGTTCAGGAAAAGGAGTGGTGTTGACCCCATCCAACCTCATGGGTTCAGCATACAGAAGGGCAGTTCCTGGGGGGCAAATTGGGATGATGGTAGCCGATTGGATGCAGGCCAGGCCAAAAGTCGTATGTCCATGGCTTGGGAGGTGGAAGCTGGTGCCAGAGCTGGAGGGGCTTCAGAGGAAGTGGGTTCCCGGCAAAGGCAACTGTGCTGATAAAGACCTGGCACGAAGGGAGGATAGCTCATTTGCAGAACAGTCAATAGTTCGGTTCAGCCACAGCAGAGAGGGCAGCAGGTGACTGGCAAGGGGTAAACTGAGGTCAGATCATAAGGCACCTTGTGAACCCCTTCTCCTAAGAGCCACTGCCCTGCCAAGAATCCATCACAGCCCCTGGATGTGGGGGTACCTTAGAGCTGGGCTACCTTCTCTACGAACTAAACCAGCTGAAAGGAGCTCAGAAAAGGCAAGGTGGCTTTGAGGCAGAGAAGCCAGGAGGTTTTGCTATCTGGTTAATGTCACCACCTCTGGGACCAGGCACCAAGGTCAGCAGGGACAAGAGGTCAAGGTCAACTCGTGTGCCTGAGATAAGGTGTCTGAGTGTAGTCCAAAACCCCAGAGATTTGGATTGGTCTGTTAAGAGACTGCTCAGTGAGCTGGCCCAATTCCCATCTAGTTGAAGTCCAGCACCTTGCACTCTGCCTTTGATTGGGGGCCGGACAGGTGCCGGGAGCTCATCCAGCCACACAGCAGCCCCATGTTGCAGGTGAGCTGCAGGGGCTAGCCTGAGAGCTTAGGTGGGTGTGCTCCTCCACCTGCTCTCTCTGTGGGGGCAGGGAGCCCGGTGGGCTCATGGCCAGTGGACAGGAGGCAACCCTGGGCTTCTGGAAGATACCAGAATTATCTTCAGGATTAAGCAAATCATTTTGCTACTCTTCTGCCTCAGTTTCCCCTCTTACCTTAGGAATTGGAAACCATAGAATCATTGGCTCCCCAGGGCTCCTGGAAAATGGAGTGGGGTGCTCTGGTATTCCAGTGGCTTTCCTGGGTTTCCTCAGGACCTGAGCACTCAGGTTGTAACTTCATTGTAAAACGAGTCACTTAGAGAGTAGACAACTAAATGGGGATTGGCCTTAATGTGTGGGAAGAAGTCTTGATCAGAGGTCTGACTCCCGGACCACTGAGGGCCACCTGTTTGTAAATGACACTGGCAAGAGACCCTAGGGGGTGGCGGGGCCTGTAGGGGGCCCCCCTGGGATGTCCCATCTGCCCAAGTCATCCACATTCAGTTGAAGCTTTTAAACCACTTTTAAAATCTACAATACCTCCCAAAGCCACATTTTGGGGCCAAATTTGACCCCCCAGGATCAAAGAATATTTGCGTAAAGAAAAAGAATTTCATTTCAAAAGGCCAATCTATACAGTGAAAACACACCACTTTAGGACCCAGAAACACTAAAGTCAAACTCGTGCTGTTCGATCTAATCCTGATGTGTGTGAATGAGGTCGACATTAACCCCGTTTCACAGATGAGGAGACTGGGGCTCAGGGGATAAGTAGGGGTTTATGTTGTCCAAGGGGCACAACTCCTCAGGGCCAGAGCTGAACCCATCTGATTGAGAAGCCAGGCCTGGCTGCCTCCTCCCAGCTACCATGGACAATCACTAAGCTTTTTTTCCTGTCTTACAAGAGCAGGTGCACACAGCCCATGGCTGTGGGCTGTGGCCCGTGTGCGGGGTTCGCTTTGTGACGGAGGCTTCTCCACCTGCCGGCATCCCGAATAATGGCTCTGGCTTGAATGTGCAATCTCTAGTAAGACCAATTACCTTTGCCTCAGCTGTGCTAGCACAACAATGAGGGAGAGCGCGCGCACTCCCTTTGACATCTTTGAGATGAAACGTCCAGGTGCAAATTCAGATTGTTTATCTTACACCTGAAGGTACTTGGGCAAAAAGGAAGGGGGAAGAAAAGATAATGACGTGATTCCAAACCCTCTTTATTTAAAAGGAGCAAATTTCAGAGCTTGTATCTAATTTTTGAGATAATGGAAAATTCCACTGAAGGCCTTCAGAAAACAGGAGTCTGGTGTGAACATAGAGCGAGCAGGCTCTTCCCCTCCCTGTCCCTCCCCCCGCCCCGTCCAGCCCGCACCCCACCACTGCGCACCCTCATTCTCGGGTTTCTGAGCTGTCAGGCAAAAGGGGTGATTCTTTAGAAATGCTAATCCATTTCCCTGCTGGGAAGACTCGGAGGGAAGGCTGGACTCCAGTTGGAATAAACAAGGAGCAAGAGTTCCCATCCCTCCGCGGAGAGAATCAGCCCCTTGCTTGTTGCAGCTCTGAGACTCCCTTTGAACATTCTGCCTGAGCCTTAAAAATAGCAACGCCCAGGGGGAAAATGTGTTCAGAAAACGCACCTCCCCGGATCTAACATCAGGGTGTCTTAAGGCCCATCTTTAGCTAAGATATTTCCCATGGAAGCCTGCAGCTATAAAAGCCCCAAAAAGAAAAGAGACATTTGCCTAACAAGCTCACTAAAGCAGGACCCGGTGGAAGGGGCCGCAGGCTCTTGGAAGATCTGGAAGTCTGTCTCTGGGGAAGCAGGCTAGCTCTGTCATCCGAATGTCAAAAGCCCGACCTGCGTTTGGGCTTTACTGTGGCAAGTGTTCTCACAACCCACCCAGGCGTCATGGCCACCAGCCCACGGAGGCCCGTTCTCCCAGCATGTGTGAAGCCTCCAGGAATACAGGCCGAGATGCCTTACATTGTCCCAGCACCAGCCAGTGCACCACTGCCGTACTCTTCTTCCGAGTCACACACCCTAGCCCTTGTGTCCTGCCACAGCTCCCGGAAGTCAGTCTTACTACCAGTATTTGCATTTGTGGAGCGTGGGCCCAAAGAGGGCAAGTCACTTACCCAAGGACACGCAGCTACTAAGTAAGGATTTGAGCCCAGATCTTTCTACTCTGAGCCAAGTGCCCTTGGCATTAAAATCCTGAGAACAAAGAAGTTGCCACTCGGGCATTTTTTATGTTTGTCTACACATTTAGCATCCTTGGCCAGAACATTAGAGTGCTGACGTATTCACCATTCCACCCTCAACCATGGGGTTTTCACAATATGATGAATCCCTCCCACTCTGAGAAGCCTTGGATGTTCTAAATAGTTCTCCGGCCAAGGACGCTGGGGCAAGAGGCGAAGGGGGGAGGTTGCTGACAATCTCCTCACAGCCTCAAACCACTGATAACCACCCAATTCCACATGCACAGAAAGAAGGCACTGCTTTCTCTGAGCTCCAGCCTGTGAACCGGGTAGAGACTGGGAGGAAGACAGGGCTGTGATTATGATCATATCCTCTACGAGGGGCATCTGCTGTGTGTACATTGAGGCAGTTTGTCTTTGGGACCACGTCTCTGTGTTCTATAAATACGCTGGCTGCCCTCTGAGCACATCCTGGCTGCTGGCACTCCTGCCGGTGAGGCCATATGGCAAGATCCAGGCACCCGCATTGCTGTGAGCAGTGGCCAGCTCTCTTCCTTTCCTTCCTCCAGGGGGGCGCCGCCCTAGACCCCCACCCAGTGTTTCAGAGGTGCCCTGCGCTGAGGATGAGGCTCGCCTGCCCCTCTTGCCCACATGGCTCCTAGCCCCGCCGCGGGGAGGCTGTATCTGCCCATGGCCCTCGGAAGGTTCCTGCCAGGACTTGGAAAGCTCGGCCATCGCTGAGGCTTTTGACTAATTGTCACCGCAGCTAAAGATAGGCCTCAGCCTCCCACTCTGTCCCCAGGACACAGCCTCCCACAGAAATCCCCTCTGAGAACCGGTTATTAACTTTCCAGTATGCCCGGTTTGGTTAGCTGATTTTATTTAGTGACTCTCCATCATTCCTAGCTTACATTCCCCACAGAGGACTTGTCTATTTGAAGCAACTAATAATTTACTAACACCTTAAAAAAAAAAATAACGGGCCGTTAGAATGTCTCTTGGCATGTCTGTCTCCATATGGGAGTGGCCAGCAGGGAGCACAGGAATGGGTCTAACTTGGTCCCCTGCCTTGCATGCAAGGGGTCTGTGG